AATTATGCCCTTGATGATTTTTGTCAGCTAGGGTGACCTCCTGGAGGCCATCACTTCAGTGACACAAGTGAGGGAGAATTACAGCTGATCCCTCTCCTCTAAATGGATACAGAGGACTTAATGGAAACAATGATGATTACAGAGCTCCATCTGAACTTGAAAATTCATCTTTCTGTATTCTTCCCTGAAATCACGTTTCTGGAGACAGAGTCATAGCTCCACACTTGGGATGTAACTGGTACCCTGTCAGCTACAAAAAGTGAAGTATTTTAAGATATTCACTTGATTTTTCCTACCCAGTTGCATTCCAGACAACAGGTCTGTTTTAAGATTGTTATGGCAGTTCCAGGTAAACCATTAGATCATAGGATGTGAGAGCAGCATCTGTGCTGGCAATTTCACCAAGAAAATTATTTATCTTAGACATCTATAGAGCATTAACCTGAAGCTCTGTCTTCCCAATACAACAGATGTTACGTAGAGTATATTAACAACTCTTGATGGGATACCACATCAAGCACTGTTCCCACCACAGCCTCCCAAGAACTTGTCTGCCATGGAAGAAACTAATGATTGCTATTGAGTACACTGGGGTGGAAATGTGAATACATGTTGCATATAGATAAATTCCAGGAGAAGAAGAGAAAATGAGTTCACTATCAGTAACTGATCAGTGCTAAATGTGTGCATGCCCCACACAGTCCCCATTCGCTTTTTGTTACGCTCCTGCACGCTTGGGATTCTCATAGACGTAAGGTGCACCGAGTGTGCTGTTGCCAAAATTAAAATCTGAAGGAGCCTCAAGGCGTCCATGTGCTCTATAGGTATATCAGGCCCCACAGTCCCGTAAGCAAATGTGCAACTCCAGCAGATATGCATAATTAGCTCTCATCAAGCTCCTGGTGGTATGTCATGAGTAACTTTTCATTCCGTCAAAGGCAGGAAAAGCTTTCATGCAGTTCTTTGTGCAGTGAAAGTGGTGATATCTGATGGCATAAGGGTGTTCAATCGTACAAAGGATAAAGCGATTTTAAAACCCAGGCACAAAGCAACAGTACGAGTACCTGAACAAAATACATTTGGAATAGTGTCAGTTGCTACTTCTAAGATGTTATTCTTAAACTCCAAATTTTATAACTTTCTAATGAAATGTGTCATCAATAAATAGCTTGATTTAAGGCTGTATCTGCCCAGAAAGTGTGCAATTCTACTGTCATGTACAATATCTAAGAACCCAAGCAAAATTACCAGTAAACATCACCAGGCAAACAGTTATAAGGCAACGGTAAGCATTCATCCCTAAAAGTGAAAATATGGAGCAATCCACAACAAAACAAAAATTGGCAGGAACACATGACATTCACTCTCGAAGAATTCTGTACATTTCCAAATTACAGCCAAGCAAAACACAGGTAGACATCTGTCTACAATCTGCATAGTTGCAGGATGTCTCTTCTGCCAATTCATCTCTTAAATAATGAGCATTTCTGTGCAATCATATTGTTGTCATACCTTATATACAGTGGCTTGAATTTTTCAGTGTCTCATAAATGAGAACAGTAAACAAAACTGGGGACTTGGTAGTTCAAAGCCTGATAGGAAAATGAGGATTCAGGAGACTACATAAAAAATTAGGAAAGACTGGGAAAATGAGAGCAGAGCAGAAGGGGAGCAAAAGAATAAGCTCTGAAGACAGTAAATGCCAGTAAATGTAATATCCTACTCAAGAGAGAAAAAAAAAAAGCACAGATGGAAACAGGAGGGTGTGTTCATCCAAACCCATTATAGGAAAGCAAGACAATTGTTCCTCTTTCGTTCTTCACCGTGTTTTAGTATTACTTCTGTATAGGGTCATGCAATGTGACTGTTGTGGGAAAGATACCTACAATTTAGACAGGCTCTTAAAAGCAAGCATATGCCATAGAAAGAGTCGTGAAATGCAGAGATAGGAAACAAGTTACGGTGGTCATTTCTGGAGAATTCTCGGGCCTTCTGAATGCCAGGGATCAAATTTTGACTTGATCCCCCAATTCATCTCAATAAGCTACAGCTGTTACGCGCAGGTTTATTTTCTTGCAAGTCAAACTTCAGTCTTACCTTTGCCCTTTTGTTTCAGTGGCCGACCAGCGTGTACGTATGAACACAGAATTATTTTCTTTTCTGTAATGATCAAACCCAAATGTTATTTTACCTTTGCCAGCTTTGTGTAGGGTGATGTGCCATCTTGCATATTTATTTTCCTGGAGTGATTCCCAGAAGTATGCTATGCTTTTTCTTGCTCATGTCTCACTAGCTTTATTTATGACTTGTGTATACCACGTTTTCAGTCCCTGGGGACAGGCCTACACAGGAAATCTGTGGATGATATTTAATACATACAACTATGAGAGTAGTAAAAAAGCAGCTACCGAATGGTACTCCAAATTAATCTAATTCAAAATTTCAGACTAGATTGTGGATAGATTAGTATCCATGGTTTAAACCACAAACACCTTTATCTGTTATATCATATAGAAGGGAGAGACACGATGGAGATTAGTAAGTTGGAAAGAAATGTTACTTAATGCTCACTGATGCTCTTTGGCTGCTAAATATTTAAAGTCTCACAATAGACCTTTGTAATAGGATTATGTGGTGCTAGATGAGTGAAAAATGAAGTACTGTAGCATCATTTTCTATTTGGAATATGTAGCCTCAGCACAGCTTATGTTTTCAAAAGTCTCCTTTAGTTCTTGGGAATTCAAGAGGTTCAGTTTCTTGGGACACACAGATTTAACATAGAAGTCATACTGGCTTTTTTTTTTACTTTTTAGTTACTTCTTAGAATTAAATTATTTTTACCTGACTTGTTTTAAGTGTGAAGTGGGAGAGAAAAATCCTTTCACTAATCTGATATATACCAAATTTGCAAGTAGAATTAATGGGACTGCTTTGGGGGAGTATGTTCAGTTCAAAATACCAAAATGTAATTAAGGACAATGAGCCAACATTTCCAGGAGTCTTCCTTGTCAAGTGGAAACAAAATAATTTAAAAAGCAAATTTTCACTTGGTTTGCAGAATTGAAATTCCATTGTTCTCTGATGACCGAGTCTAATAACAGTATTGTTGTTGTTATTGCTTCTTACTGATTGCATCGAAAATATGTTTTAAAGATACCTTTTTTCTCACTATTAGGTGCATGAATTCCATTTGGCTATAAAATAGTTCAAGATAAGCGCCTCTTTCCCACATGCCATCACAGCTGGTGAGAGGTGATTGGTATCATATTATCCCTTCAATTACACCTCTGCAATCCCATTAATTGAAAAATAACATGACTTGTTACTTAATGGCTAATAGTGGTGCATAGGAAAGCTGATAAACAAAGCCTGATGTACAGTTTAAACTGCAGTTGTATTTGCAGGTTGGCTGCTTGAAAAAAACACAGTTTTTACCATCCACTAGGACTTCTGTGAGATGCCATAACTGCTGGACCGTTCCTCAAAAGAGAGCTGATGGATAAATGTTCTGATGGGTCAAGCCAGGGAGCAAGGCACATGTCCCCCCCCCGCCCCAATGCTCTGGTTCGTTTGAGAAGTCAGTTTGATAGTCATATATGTGTTCTTCATCTGGCACGTGTTTCATCGCTAGGTCTGTCCGTACAGCTGCAGTGGGTGTGATGAGCCTCTCATCCCACATGGCATGTTAATTCATCAGTGTTGTACTTCAGGGATGCTCCTGGGCTTTCCTGTGGGCCAGCTCTAGTGTCAGTGTAAACTGCAAGCACAGGACCTCACTTGCCAAGGTTGTCTGTGTGTCTGTGTGTGTCTAGAGGTTTCATACACTGGTGGTCACTGAAGTGGTGTAACGCTGCACAGCACAACATCAGGCAATGTGGGATGTTTGTGGGTGTGAGGAGCAGTTGGAGTGGAGAGCACCGAGAGGTGCTAGCCCTCACCGAGATTGTTCTCCTAAGAGCTGTGCAAGAGCAGCCTGGTGGCCACACAGGCTTTCTAGTGATGATGCACAAGTGATGGCTGTGCCAAGCTGGGTGCTCTTGCCTCGTGCAGTACGGCTGCAGAGCAGGAGAGAAATGCAAGGGCTGTAAGCGTGGTAGAGGAATTAGCACTGCCAGCTGATTCCACTGCATGTCATTGACAGATGTCAGATCTATTGGTGATGCACAGGACAGAGCTGCTGAGGTGACGTACCATTTACCAGCCTTTATCCTCTTGTTTCTCCTGACATCTGAACTCCCAAAGCAATCCCCTTTAAGGTGATTCACACAGTGACCCTAAAGAACTGATTAATCAGTGGGATGATACGGAGTAAGGTAGCCTGAGGACAGGTGTTAATGGGGCCTGCCTTTGCAGCTTCTGCCAACTCGGAATCTGGACTGGGGAAAACCCCGTGTCAGTAAGTAGCTAAAAGGAAGGGCATTATCCATGTCCCCACCACCCCTTTATTGAATTAAGGGTCCCGAGTAAAACCAGTTACCTCACTTGGAGCCCAGCACTTGCATGTCTCTCCACATGCTCGCTGGCAGCAGTTCCATACCCTGCTGACATGGTTGCCCCCCTCCCCTGAAAGTGCCAGCAGAGCTCCTAGCCCTTTTCCGCATAGCCAGGTCTCCACAGATATTTTAATCGGGTATTGGACTGGCCCAACGTGTGTGTCCTGCTGCAAACAGCTGTTCCCATGGTAGCAGGAGCACATGGGTATTGCCACTCAGGGCTGTTGGGGTCTTTCCCTTATCTCAGTCTCAGGACCTGAAGAAGACTTCTGTAAAGCACCACATCCATCACACGTGCTACGGCTGACGCCGGAGTCAGGGATACAGCACCGGCCTTGGAGAAGCAGCACCATCATTTATGCCAACTGATGGAGTAGGAGCAAGTTCATCCCGTGCTTCGTCCCTGAGGCAGGATGCCTTTTGCAGAGGTACTGTAGCTCGTTACGTGGAGACAACTTGGGATGGTGGGGTGAAGATGAGAGGCTGTGCTGCTGAGAAGCAGAAACAGTGAGCTGCTAACTGGGGGTGAGGAGAGAGCAGAGCAGATGCTGGTATTTTGCTGATCATTGGTCATACAGGTATTGGCTGCAACTCCAAGAGATGCTCTTGAACATGGCCTGCTCTTTGACCTCTCTCACTATTAACAGTGAAATGAGGTTTACCCTGTGGTGATTCAGGTTGGCTTAGATTTTTGTTTTTTAAACAAATCAAACTATCATATGTTACTTGTGCGTTTGTGCTCACGTTTTGTTTGGTTGCAGTTTTCTTTGTTGGTTTTATTTTGTTTTCTTTAATAAGAAATTACTCAGAAGCATGACTAGACTTGCCTGCAAGTGGTTACATTTAGCTGTAATCTGCCTGGTGAGTTGTAGGAGGAATATTGCACTAGTTTGAACTGGATTTAGTAGCAAGGGTATTTTAATTTGGGGCAGCAGAGAGAAAATTGTATAACACTGTTGTGCTGTCCTGAGTAGGAGAAGCAGCCAGTGAATTGCATGATTTTTCCGTCTTTGTAATCAGTTTGTTATGCAGAGAGCAATGCCGTGGGATTCAGCATTTTATCTGCTGGGTTTCCCCTGGCAGCATCTGAAGAAGTTCATTATAAGTGTTTATCACATGATCCACTTAATCAAACCACTGAAACTCGGAGAATAAGTCATTCTAACAAGACCCTTCAGAGCTGCCTTATAAGCTACTTACTGATATGCTCTTCCTTGGTGAGGGTACAATGAGTTTCCTTGTGTCCTGGTCTATGATACAGGAAGTTCATTATCCCCAGTCCAAATTCAGACGTAAAGAAAAGGAAGCAGGGCTTACAAAGAAGCGACAGATAATTTGCAAAGGATTTTAGTTAGCCCCTCAAATCCCAGATAGAGTCAGACTGTAAGCTCTTCGTAAGAACAGCCTGCTGGTTTTCAGCATTAGGCACAGAGCAGCTATCTGCGTAGCTGCCTGTAGTGTTGTAAAATACAGACAACGCAGGAGAAATTATTTGCTTCTTTTGATTAGAGGTTAACTAATGGAAGCATGTGAGAAAAAAGAGAAATCAGAACTGAAAGTGTGCTTTTAGCTGGGCGGTAGCACATACACTGCATAATAGTAGCAGAGCTGGTATCTGGGCTAATGCAAAATGAAAAGCCTGCTAAATCCCGGCGTGTGCAAGGCTGTGAGATACTGAGGCTTGTCTGACACGCCAGGAGCTCTCAGACATGCTGTTTGCAACCTGTGTTTGTACACTGTATACCTCTGGTAGGATAAAATGTGTTTCTCTGTGATGTACCTAGGAACTGTTCTGGTCGTGGGGAGCAGGTAGGTCGAGGGCTGCTCTGCCTCCTTGAAGGCATTCATTTTACTGAGCTCTGTGACAAGCAGTGCGACACCAGATTTCCTGGCACTCACTGGGTTTTTTCACTGATGCTATTTCACAGACAGTATCTCCTAAAGGCTTGCCTTCTTGCTCTCTGTTTAAGACCAGTTTGGGTACCGCCCCAGATGTAGGCTTGGACCAGCCTTAACGTAGAAATGCCCTGGATAATTTCCCCAAGCATCACTCTGTCTCCGTACGATAGTGCTGCTTGGCTGCCCCTCTTCACTCACCTCCCAGGCTGCTGTGAATGCAGCACAGGGTCACACCAACCCAACGTTGGTTTGTGTAGGGACACACAGCCTGAGCCTCGTGCGGGTTTCCAGATGAACATTTTTTTTTACTGGAAACTGCCACTGGAACAAAGAGCATCAGGCAGTTCAGGACAAGCTACTCTGTGAGACATTAAAGACAGGGAAGTGTGCAGAACTGAGAAACACTGGCAACAGAAACAAAAAGCCCTCAAGCTGGTTTGATGGGGATGATGCTTTTTCCCCAGCGTAGCTCCAGTGAAGCGGGTCATAAAATTCATGCCGTTGTCTAGGCACTGCCTTCAGGAAACGGTGAAACCTGTCTCTCCAATGCCAAAGTCCAGCCAGCCCAGAGCTTTAAAATTCAACCTGTTAATTACTCCTGGGAGTAATTAGATCCAGCCTGGAGTGAGCAAGGAGTCTGGACTGCATCAATCACCAGATGTGAGGGCTTGAGTTATGCAGTTTTCATTCGTTGTGTTACAGGAAGAGTTACATGATGATGCTTTGTCTTTGTTTTCCATGTACTTTGTACCTGGCTGTCTTGTCTTGACGCAGCTGTCAGTCTCTTGACTGCTGATATACCAGTATGCCAAACTGGCACCAGTATGTCTGTGTCCCCAGGAGGGACTGTGCCGCTTCAGTAGGTTGGTTTCCAACTAATAAGTTAAAACAGGACACAATGTGAAGAGGATGCCTGGAGGAACATAGTGGTTTGCTGTCTTTATCCCCTCCATTTAAAAAATAGTAAATGCTACATTATTTTACCTCTTTTAAAATAAAGCATGTAGCCAAAAAAGACGAATCTATGCTAGCTGGTTAGTTTTACTACTTCCTTCAATTGGTTCCAGTATAGTTCCCTTCCTCTTTCTCCTTCTTTGTCATACTCCCTGTCTGTCTTCTTGGTTTCTATTGTGGCTATTTAAAGGCCCCCCTTTCATCTCTCTTTTGGGACAGTCTTACTGCTGGCTTTCTGCTGCCTCAGCTTCTACACAGCCAGTGCTTCAAGAAAAAAGTGTCTTTCTCATAAAGCTGGGAGGAGAGTAGACCCATAAAAATAAATATTGTTTGTACGTACGTAGTGCTTTAATCAGTCAGTTTCCAACAACTTCATCTAAGAGGCCAGTTTACTATTGTTTCAGCTTCTTAGGTAAGGAGACAGGAGCAGAGCCAGTTGATAACTTTCTGCTGTCTGTAAATTGGAGAATCAAACTTCTGTTTTCCAAATGATTTTTCAGTGCCTGACCCGCTGCCCTGTACACGGGGAAAGGCAGTACTGAGCATCTGGAGCACCGAAGCCATGCTGCCAGACACTAACCTGGCTGGGCTTAGTCAGTACCAAGCCGGGCTCAATTCTCTCTCCCACCCTAGGGATGAAAGACTCTTTAATGCACTCGCCGCTCCTGGGCTGTTCATCTCAATCCCCAGTTGTGTTATCTGTTTAGAAGTCTTTCTCACTAAATTGCTTCCTTTGAAGACTGCAGGCTTTTTAACTGCGGACTCCAGCACCTGCTGCTTGCTGGAAATCCCGAGCAAGGGAGCGTAGCGATGCCAAACTTGCCAGTCACAAAGCATCACATTTTGCAGGTTTTCGCTGGAGGTAGCTGATGAAAAACAGAAGGGACATGTTGTAAAGGACTGTCAGCCCAAGTAAAGGAAGGTGGCTTTGAAGAAAGCTTCCAAGATGGTATTTCCAGAATGCACTCCTTTAGGAAAAAAGTGGAAAATCCAAAGAATTAAATGAGCCAGAATGAGCTCACTGCAGGTGGTGCTGGGCGTGACTTTTTGAAATCAATTTTAATTATTAACTGGTTTAGTAATTGGTTTTTGTCCAGTGTCTGCCATTACAGTACCTTTTCCTGCAGCCCCAGAAAACCCACAGTTTTCTGGTTCTCTGAGGCTTTCCCACAGCATCCATTTCCCTTCCCTTAGAAGACTGGTATGACACGATGGAGAGGACTTCATCTGCCCAACCTGCAAACAAGCTGCTGGGACACCTGCTCCCTGGCAGGATTTGGGCTACCCCTTACCCTCTTCCACAACAGCCAGTCCTGCAGGGATTTACACCCACTGGGTGCATCCATGTTTTGCCTGAAATTCTCTGGATATTGTTAGCTTCATGGGCCTGGGGGCTGTAGAAGTTGCTGCAAAGCTCCCCTGATCCGAGGGTTAAGTGGGCAGGCAGGTGCTTGCCCTCTCCTCCTCTGGAAAATGGAGAGGTCCCTGATAGGTTTCAATGAAGAACAGGTGGTTAAAAAAAAAAACTTCTCTCTTTGCTCTCGTTGGCATTTCTTCCATTGTGAAAAGATCTGCACAAGGGCCTGCAGTGCCCAGAGCGATGAGGTAGGATACGTGTGTTTGTATTTGTCTGGTCCCATCTCCGCCAGCGAGCCCTTGAAATGTAGCCTTGCTGGCAGAGCTGGTCAGGCTGGGAAATTTAGTTTTAGATGGGTTTTTTTGCTTGTTTACAAGTGGTCTTGGCTACAGAGAGGGACACACAGCTGGTGGGCTGTGCACGGCTCCGTGACTGGGCTGAGGCAGGGCTCTGAGGCTGGAGTGGTGCTGAGGTTTTCCAGCTTTCTCCTGGCTTCACTTGGAGCCAGCGTTTGGAGAGGCTGTTCCTCTGCTGCCTCCTCCTGCGGGCTGGCGTCTCGGGGTCTGCTCTGGCTCACCCAGGGTCTGTGGCTCAGAGCAGACACGCGATGGACACCTCTGCTCGCTCCAGACGTGCTGCTTCTGCAGACCAGAGGACACCTCTCACTGGTCACAATAACTGATTGAATACAAATATCGCACAAATTTCTTCCTCTGCTAATTATAATAGCATTAGACAAGGTGGGAGAGGTGCATGTCTGAAGAAGGCCCAGCATCTCAGAGATGGCTTTGCAAGTGGCTTTTGTGAGACGTTCGTGTGCCAGTGGTGCCTGTGCTGGCTGCAGGAACCCAGGTGAGCAGCCATTGGCACAGCTCAGGCAGAAATGGAGACTTCTAACAGTACTGGTTAAGCATTGGAACATGATAAGGACTGGAACATAGTAACATTGATAAGCACTGGAATGGGCTGCCCAGGGAAGTGGTTGAGGCACTGTCCCTGGAGGTGTTCAAAGGACGGGTTGACATGGTGCTGGGGACATGGTTTAGTGATGGGTTTTTTTGTCAGAGTTGGGTTGATGGTTGGACTAGATGATCTTGAAGGTCCCTTCCACCCTAGATGATTCTATGATTCTGTGATGTGATGTGCTGTGTCAGCCTCAAACTTCAGAAGACCTGTGTCAGGGACCAGGGAGAAGAGGCAGCACCAGCCCATGGGTGCAGCAAACCTGGTATTATGGGAGTGCTTTCCTGCAGTGCCAAAGGGTGGCAGAGGGGGAGGCTGCTGAAGGCTGTGACCTTCCAGGCAGGATCTGTTTCCCAAACACGCGTTAAACAGTGGCAGACTCGCAGGTGTGGGCATGGGGGAACCTGTTAAATTAAAGCCCGAGGGTAACAGGAGAGCTGTTTGCTTTGGAAGATAAGGTGCACCTGTTCTGTGGGCTGAGGGTAAGGAGACTCTCTGAGAGCTGTTTTCCTTTGTTACCTGGGTAGGCAGACCTTTTGCACTGTGAGGCCATGTAGCTCCTCCATCTCCTCCTCCCTTCCCTTTAAGACCAGGTATCCCCTCAGCTTTACCAGCACCTCCAATCTGACAACCCAGAAGTGTGAGAAATGGTGGCAATTGCTCCTTTCCCTCCCTCATAGTGGAGCTCACAGTGGAGCTCCCCTGACCACACTGCCCAAGTTTGCTGCCTGGACTGATGCTGTTATTAAGAAGCCCTGGTGGCCGGTACCTGCAGCCTGGTTGTCGGCTGGAGACAAGGGAAGGGCATGCTCCCAGCAAGGCGCCCTTCGGTGGGGCTCCTCTAATGAGCCAGGGTCGTTATCTGACTTGCTGTTGGTCCCAGAGAAGCTGCAGGGATGTCTGCTGCTTTATTTTGTTAAATGGTACCAAATGATGGCAGTTAATAGCCTACCAGGAGAAAATGAGCTCTTAGGGCAGCATTTCATGTCTGGCATGCGAGGCTTTATTGAATTAACTTTGTACCAGACCCGCCGTGCACTTCCCTCGCTGGAGAGCCCGACCCACATTAACTGTGGGATAAAAACGTTACCACCCTATTTTTGTCACACAGGTGTCTTGCATTTAAAAAATCTTTACGTGCTTTGATGTCAGCTGAGTTTTGGCAAGCGGGCAGGGCGGGCTGTTTGTCAGTGCTCTCTGTCTTATCGCTGCACCCATCCCAGTGTTGAGCATGTAACTCTCTTGCTTTGCTGCTTATTTCCCAGGTTAGGGACAGTGTGTTTCCACTCTCTGCAGCCCCTGCAAACGCAGAGGTGCTGTGAGAGAAACCCCCGGTGCTACTGACGCCGTTCAGGTGATGCCTTTTGCCTCTGGGGTACCTGCAGCTTGGCAGCTCCCACTGGGCAGCCCTGCCAGGCTGTGGGAGGGAGACTTGCATACTTTCATTATGTACACCTAAAGTTAATAACTGACTCAAGAGTTCATCTACAAATATATTTTTAGGGCTGCTCTTGGCAAATTTTTCCCTTCTCGGCCACAAAGCTCTCGTTTTCTGTAATTTCCTCCCTATGTTTTCCTGTAACTCTAATCTATTTTAACATTAATGGGTTAGTTTTGAAACAGCCTGTGAGTTTCCAGCCTCTTCTCCCTTACCTGCTGATTATTTCTTTTCTCACCGTCCTCTCTCCCTACTTTTGTTGTTTGCAAAAAACGGCTTTTCTGCTCCCTCTCCCTCTTCCCAGCTCCCACCATCTGTCTCTCTACAAATACAAAGCTTTAGGGGAAATGATTCACTAGGCTGCGAGCTCATTACTCACCCTCTCCCCATCATGGTTTCTGTCCTTGTAGGATGCTCTAACTAATGTAAAGATCAATGAATCCTGGGAATTGTTATTCAATTAAAAAAAAAAAAAAATAATGCCCCAGCAGTTAAATAGCTTGGTCTCTTTGTACTTCCTACACACCAATGCTTAGTTTTTCTTCCTCACTCTGCCGGCATTATTTTTCAGAAAAGGATCACTGAAACAGAAGAATAGAAACGATCGCTGGACCATTTAATGCAACCTTGTGTAGCACATGATGCAGGAGTTACTTAATGAAATTCCCTGGCCCAAACCAAGCAAATCTGTGGTAAATCTAGAGCATATTTTAGGATGACAGCCAAAATGATGAAAGGAATTTACTACCCAGCCTTGCTAATCGTTTTGAATGCCTAACTGCGCTCCCTAATATGCTGCTTCGCAAGCAGCAAAACTGACACAGCCTCATTCCTTCCCGCTTCCTCTCCTCCAGCCTCACCCAGGCAGCCCTGGCCGGGGCAGGGTGACCAGCTGTGACCCCCGGGAGGGCTGGCTGACCCACCGCTGCCAAGAGACCTCCCCAGGCCTGAACCCGCTGCCTCTCCCTCCACAGCGTGCCGGTTTGGGGCCAGCTCTTTGCTCAGGTCATTATTTCCACGAAACTCATAGGCACTTAGTATCTTTGAGCTTCTACCTATTAAATGTGGTAGAAATTGGCTCAGAAGCCATTTGAGACAGACGAGTTCACGGTGTTAAAACACTTCAGATATCTTAAAGTGTCAGAGAGAGCAATAGTGAGGTGGCAGATGCACCGCAGCCTTTCGGGAGACTTGCTCAATCTGGAGGTTGAGCTCAGTAGCACAGGGTGCTCCAAACGACCCTAAATGTCCACGTTTAGGTATCTGACTCCTTTTGTCTTTGCTTTGTTGACCTTTTAAGAAGGATTTCTGTCATGACTTTAGGCTTGTCGCCATACACTAGGGAGTTATTTTCTTAATTGGGAGATTAGTTTTTCATTTTATCACGTGGAAAATGCCACCCCCTCCCCACACGCATGCAGGTAACAAGAAGTACCACTACCTAACACAGCTTTCTGGTGCCTTGTGAGGGAGCTGCCAGCATGCCAGGTATTAGCCTATTTCTGTTGTTGAGCTTCCCTTTAGAAATGGGAGTTGTAAGAAGTACAGCAAATACCACAATCAAAATTGTAAGAGTTGACAGCACTGCATGGGCCCTTCTCCCAGTTCTCTTACAGGGCTGCAATTCCTTATGCAGAAGCCTGCTAAAGGAAAAGCTGAGTGTAGCTGCAGTGTGGTTCTTCAGTCAGTTCTGATGAGCACCACAAAGTACGTCTTGTACCAACGCACCACACTGGCACCGCCTTCCTGGAAAGCTAATTAAGTAAGTTGGGTAATGTAACGGGAGTATCAGCTTCTGGGCTAATTTATTTTTTGGACTACAAAACACATGTGCAGCTTCACGTCTTTGTAAAGCTGCGTTTGGGTTGTTCCATAGCAAATAACAAAGCCGAGGAGGATTTTGGAAGGAGCCTGCACTGAGCAGGTGTGAAATGCTCCGTGTCAGAGCAGGGCGTTCTTGTACAACTACTCCAAAGACCAGGGGAGGCAGAATTGTAAGCCGACAGGGTCCCCTGGTACCTCAGTAAGGTTAAGGCACTTTTAAAAAAAGAACCCTCACCAAAGTCATATTTATGTGCTCCATAAAAAAAAAAAGCAAGCTCAAACTTTAGCAGATGTGATGTTTTTGAGCCTTCTTGGTTGCCAACACCCTGTGGCTCTCCAGCATCTTTGATTATTTTATTGTTCCACACTGCACACAAGTTGTAGGAGTCAATGTTATTTCTCTTACCAATTGCTGGCTCTCCCCACGGCAGCTGGCCTTTGACACGCTGTGTTTTCCATCAGGGCTGGGGAGCAGGCACGAGGCTGAAGGCTGGCTACAAAGGATCCTGCCGCGTTGCCCGGTACTGACAGTGCACGCGGAGCCGTGCCTTTAGCTCTCCTTTTGTGGAGCATTACGGCAGCACAGCCGAGGTGCTGGGTGTATGGAGAGCTGTATGGAAATGGAGCTCCAGAGAGTTCAGACCCGAGGCCTCTAATTGAAGCCAGCACCTTTGTGCAAGACGGGCTCTTGCGAGGAAAACTGGCGTTACCCAACAGTTACCGTCCCTCTGCTGTTCCCAGCAATAATACAAGCTGACGCAATATATAAGGTAGCCTTACAAAAGGCAGATAGATTTAATAGTGTATATACAAATTAAGTGTTGGGTAATGCTATACAAGGCAGGAATGTCTTTAAAGAAACCCTGAGCACAAAGGAGGATGTAATTTTTATTTTACCCTTATTGTGGCATTATTTCTGGGATTTGTTTGCTATATTGACTAATAAAGGAATATGTTAAAAACAGATGTTATAATAAAACCGGGCATTCTTTCCATTTGCAGCTTATTTAAAAATCTAGAGAAAAGAGTTCTGCCCCATCAGCTTCAGAAAGAGATGTTTAACATGGTAGAGAACAAGCCGAGCCTGAGTTACCCAAGACAACTAATTCCCTTAGCAGAAAGAGTGTCTTCTGTCATCAAAAAGAGCCATCTGGAAGAGCCTTGGCTCCCTGCCAAGAACAACCCCTGAACAACTGCTTGTCGTGCACTTTAAGTACTAACGTTCATAACGGCACAACCTGGAGTGTTGGTAAAGGCCCTATTGGAGGGGCCACGTATTCCTCCTCCCTCAGCAACCGCAACAGGATGTTCTTCTTATTCTTCGGCCAGTTGTAGATGTGAGTGTTCTGCAGCCAGGTAGGCACGTGTTCCTGAAAAACAAGGGAAAAAAAAACCAAAAAAGCAAAAATCCCATAAATCCTCCTGAATCTGTACCAGAACCATGCAGATTCCACCAGACCCTGCCAAGCAAGATTTCATTTTGTCTGTTCTAGGCACTTCCCATAACAACAAGAAATTTTCATTTGGCTTCAGAATGGTATTTGGGTTCCTAAATAAATGAACTTTGTGTGATCTCACAGCTTGCCTGTCTCTCTTTCTTTTCTGCCATCGTGTTGGCTAATTCCACCACGTTTCAAAGGGAGTCTGATCTCAACGACAGGCATCCAAAGCCTTGCGAAAATAAACACTGAGAAGAGAAGGGAGACATTTTGGTGCCCCTACCAGGGAAAGGCTGCCACCTTAGTAGCTGCTGAAGGATCCACACAACATGTTCAACCTTGAGATATAAGAATAAATAGGGAAAGAGCAGGACCCCAGGGGAACATTTCTCATCCTGGTAGCCTTCTCCCCCCGCCCCTCACACCTTCCTTGATCAAACGTGGTGTCCTCTGACCATCTCCTGAGTGGGAGGTTGAGGCCGATGCTGAATGCATCTTCAGCTTAGCAGAGTCAAACATCCACCACCCCCTGCATCCTGGGGAAGATGCAGCCTTTCAGAGGTGTTGGCTAATGCCCAGTAATGTAATGAAGCTGAGACCACCATGGCCATGGACAGTGACAGGGGGCTGATGGAGAGGAGCCTGCTCAGACCTCACGTTCCCATATCTCCACAGAATCACAGAATATTCACAGTTGGAAGGGACCTCTGAGATCATCGAGTCCAAACACAAAAAATAAAAAAAATAAAATAATAAAAAAAAACCAAAACAAAAAACCACAAACCAAAAAAACCCACCACACCTACCAACAGACACAAACCAACAATCCTGGGCACTAGAGCATGCCCTGAAGAGCCATGTCTACACGTTTCTTAAATACCTCCAGGGATGGTGACTCCACCACCTCCCTGGGCAGGCTGTTCCAGGGCCTGACCACCCTCTCAGTAAAGTCATTCTTCCTAATATCTAATCTAAACCTCCCCTGCCCCAACTTCGGACCATTTCCTCTGCTCCTGTCATTATTCCCTCGGGAGAAGAGGCCAACCCCCACCTCTCTACAACCTCCTTTCAGGTAGTTGTAGAGGGCAATGAGGTCCCCCTCAGCCTCCTCTTCTCCAAACTAAACATGCCCAGTTCCCTCAGCCTCTCCTCATACAACTTGTTCTCTAGACAGCCTTGGGAGGTTTCCATATGGAAAGCCTGGATGTATAGGCACCAAGGGCTACTATATACCACTAATTGCAAGAGGATCAAAGACTGATCCTTGGCTAAAGCCAACTCATGTCCACTGTGGAGACCAAGATTTCTCTTTGGAGAACTGTTGGAGAACCTGGAATACAGCCAAAGTGAGACAGCAGGTAAGCAACATGAGCAGTCAAGACATCCAGCACTTGCTCCATGCACCTCTTACATAGCAGGGCAGCGTTCTCCCCAGGTGGCCTCTGTTAGGAGCAGCACAGTCCCTGTCAACCCACTGGAGCTGGCTCCAAGAGGGCAGAGTGAAAAGCTGCTGGCGTGCACCACATCCCTGGTGCCCTGCCAGGGGATGCCCTGGCATGGGCAGCACATGCCCTGCCTGCCAACACACAACCTAGCTGCAGTCCAGAGACTTCATTCCCAAACCTCATGCTTCTCAAATTGGCTCTCTTCTCCTTGGCCTGTAGAGCCGTAGGAACGAGGCTGCATCATTTCCACTGCTCAGGAAGTGGTTTGTGTTAATTGATGCAACCACTTTGTTAGATCTATAGGATTTATGTATAAGAAGACAGAGGTAAGTCACGCAGGCACCTAGAGACCCATTGGTCTGACCTCACCTAGGCTTCAGAACAAGCAGCTTGCCGAGTGGCAGAAGTATCTATCCAGCCTGGCCCTCCTCCTTCTCCAGTGGCCAGGAAAGCACAGGCTTTGGTCAACGGTCTCCCCAAAGTGGAGGTTTTAAAATGTCGCTCTTCCAGGTGGAAGAGCAGTGCCCAACTATAGTAAGATCCTGCAGCATTCCCTTTGGTAGCAGCACAAAGGTTTCTTGCTTCCCCCTGCAAGGCCGCTTTCATGTAGGAATGTCTTTGTGAAATTTACTCCTTTGACAAAGCTGTTTGAAATCGGCCCAGGGATTCAAATGTTACTATGTTTGTATGCACATCCTTATTATGCAAAATTTGTTTCTTTACTAAATCTTGTTAAGAGCTATAGAAGGAAATGCGACGAAACACAGCAAGGGCTTACCAAATGAGCCCCCTTTCTGTCTTTGGTAAGAGACTACATTTTTTGGAGGAAGGAAATGCAGTAGACGAAGCTGGTCTGGACTTCAGTAAAGCATTTGATATAGGTCCACGTGGGAAATCATTAGTTAAGCTTGAAAAGATGGAAATTAGTGTCTGCAATGTATAGTAGGTAAGAAACCTGCAAGTGGGGATGTAATGAGAGGCACTATACATCCTCTGCGCCTCCTTCCACAACTGCTCCCGTGGCCAATTTCATTTAATATCCTCCATAATGAACTCGATGCAGAAAGCACCTGCACGCTAATCAACTCTGCCAATAATTTTAACTAGAGGGAGGGAGGGAGGGAGGGAGGTGTGCAGGGGTAAAGGGGTAACTGTAGCTACTATTTTGATCCAGAAGGAGAGCAGGGGAAGTGAGAAGAGGCCCTCTCCTTGCCACGCGACACTGGCTGTCATTGCGGGTGGGACTAATGGGAAAAAGGTTACTGCCCTTTTAATTTTTTTTTTTAATTCAGCTGGGTATCTGTAAACCGAGCGAAAATTCACTCTTTCTATGGCATAGAGAATCTGACAACTCTGAGGATCAAAGTGGTAGGGACAGGGTGGAGTGTATTGGTGCAGAGGGCAGGGCCGTGTGTTCAGGGCCGTGCTGGAGGAGCAGGGTTTGAGCTCTCCTGCCTTCCCCGGCACCGCTCTGCCAGAGGGAGCCTCCAGCGTGGGGCAATCACAGTTAATTAACACAATTAATGCCTTGGTCATTGTGTGACCAGGTCAGGAGGACACGTTTCTGTGGACTGACTCGGTGCAAGCCTTGAACCAGCAAGACCCTGGTTTCCTTTAGCAGTGTACGATGGGAAGCTGGAAATGCCAGTTCCACCTTAACTGTGTGTTGTGCTTTTTCCCCTCATTATTCAATTTTCTAATGAACACTCTTTGGATCACATAGATCCCTTCCTGTTGGAGGTCAACTAACTATCACATGCCAGCAGTGCTTTATGATGTGCTTTGTATGAGATTAACTCATCTAATAGTCACAACCCCAGATGAAACTTTCCAGACCTTGCTTTCCTGCTCTTTTCTGCTGCCAGCTACAGTAGTACTTGAGCATGTAAAGGACGGTATAAAAAACCCAAAATTAAAGTAACTTGCTCACCAGCATCATCCAATTGTACATATATGTGGCATTTTTCAGGTACCTCACTTTCCTCTGACTGCCCACAGACTTCATTACTGCAACTTGTTCAGGGTCTGGTGCTCTCCTTCCATCCATGATGTCCTCAGTTACATTACCATTAACTAGTTAGATGAAGGTAGATGATGTACCAAAGAATTGTGTGGAGAAAGAGAGCAAAGCTTAATGGGAATAGAAAATGCTGATCTGCATAATTTAGATGAGAAAGGCACCTCTGGAAAAACTGGAGAGTGATGTGGACTACAGAGGATGGGCAGGAAGGCTGCCTGGAGCCTGATGCTTTGATAGGAACAGCTGAATAAACCAGCCCTGGAAATGCCTTATAGATCACTGTCTGCGAGAACCACTGCTACATGCTAAATAGCCTTCTGATACATAAAGTTCAGCCAAAATTAATGGATGTTTATTGTTCTTGTGTCTGCCTCAAAGCCCAAGGGCAGCTACAGTGCCTGCTGGGGCACTCTCCCTGCGGCCCTTCAGGTGCCGAGTAGCTGCAGGCTGTGTGCTCTGTTCCTGTGGCAGGCACTCAAGGAGCCCCCGAGGTGAGGACAGTCCTGTCCTCCCCCCAGATCAAGCTGCAGAGACTGACTGAAAACCCCAACTGGTTCCCTGCCTTTGGTCTGCCCAATTCACAGAATCACAGAATCATCATGGTTGGAAGGGACCTCTGAGATTATCGAGTCTAACCACAAAAAAACCCACCAAAAAACCAAAAAAACCCAAACCAACAACACACACAACACCCCACCACATCACACCCACCCACAAACCAATAACCTTGGGCACTAGAGCATGCCCTGAAGAGCCATGTCTACACGTTTCTTAAATACCTCCAGGGATGGTGACTCCACCACCTCCCTGGGCAGGCTGTTCCAGTGCCTCACCACCCTCTCAGTAAAGTCATTCTTCCTAATATCTAACTTAAACCTCCCCTGCCCCAACTTCGGACCATTTCCTCTGCTCCTGTCATTATTCCCTTGGGAGAAGAGGCCAACACCCACCTCTCTACAACCTCCTTTCAGGTAGTTGTAGAGGGCAATGAGGTCCCCCCTCAGCCTCCTCTTCTCCAAACTAAACGTGCCCAGAAATTCCCACCACATTCCCACCAGTGCTGTTGCCCAGCTTTTTACACTTAAGGCAAGTACAAGACTGAGATCGTTCAGGAAGGAAGCTGAGTGACATGAAATACCGTTCATTCCAAAGGACCTCACATATTTTACAAACCCAAGGACATATTTTCAAATTTCTTATATTAAATCGGTGCCTAAATAACGAACTTTGTTACATTAAAATCCACAAGTGCAGTGAGGCTTCAGAGCCCTACAATAATTTATAATATTTTTTAAATTTTGACTCATGTTCCAAAATTTGGGCACCCAAAGAAATGGAAAGAATTTTTCCATACTTTTCCAAAATGCAGCTATACCTAGGGGTAACATGACAGCTCCCCAACAATGCACACAGCATTTCGCAATGAAAAGTGAACTCAAATACAATACACCCATTCTACATTTGGGGAAGAATATAATTTCTCAACTATAAGTGAAGCCATTCAACTTTTCTGGCCTTGTAAAAATCCAAGAGATTTTCTTAGAGCGAGGAAGAAGAGATGGGAATCTGTTGCATTACTTATTTCCTATTCTCAAAAGAATCTTCAAAACCAATAAGGAGTGCAGATGAAATTGTAAGTCCTAAAAAACCTTATAGTTTGCCTTTGATGGGCCCATTAAAGTTCAAGCAATGGCCTAGTACTTTAATATTTATTATCGTCTTTATTTTTACATTCTCAAACCACCCTCTTCCAGATCCTCACTTCACATCAGTCATAAATCTCTCCCATCTCACTCATCGGCATTACATCTGGACAAAATTATAAAAGGGTTAATATAAAAAGCATGCCTGCTGGATAGATTGCCTCCCCCCGTTTAAATTCTTTCAATGCTCAAGACAATTTGAGTTTTAGTTTTACATTCATCATCAGAAATACATTTATGCGGCCATTTATGTTATGGATGAAATGCTTTTAGTTTGTATGTACAGAAAACTATAAACTTTTCATTTAAACTGTAGTTTGGAATATTACTAGTGGGATATTAAGAACCAAGGAATTGAGGGTTTGGGTTTTAGGATTTCATCTGGTGCACTGTGATCAAAATAATATGGGCTTAATCATGCGACAAGTCTATATCCATGTAGGTACGTTACCTTTTTGGCATTTGGAAAAAGCACAGGGATGAATCTGAAGTTCATACTTCCTTGTTGTATAAACTCGATCTGCATCTAGAATAGAACAAATTGCCAGATTTATTACAATGACATGTTAATTTTCTTTGCATGCATCTGAATCCTATTCGTAAAAACATTTGTTGCTTACTTAAACTGCTCTTCTGTTAAGTGATTTGATCTATTGCTGGTGGACTCGGGATCGTTTTGTTTGGCCACTTAATGTGATTCTTCATTACTACAGAAAGGATACAGGAAAGATCTGTCAACATTTCTTGAGCATTTAGTTCCATGGTGTGAAATAATTGTGGGTTTAGCTGCAGTTGCAATCCCATGAAATCCATCTAGAACTGACAAAGCTTGACAGGACTAAGGCCCCTGGTTCAGGCTCCAAAGGGCTGACAGAATCCAGCCAGAGGCCAGCTCTGTGTCTGAGCTGGGACCCAGGATGTCCCCCCACATCCCCACTTCATGTCCAAGCTGGGACTCAGCCTGACCCTCCTGTCCCTGGACACCAGCTCAACAAGGCGTGGGCATCCCAGGGGTGCTAAGGAGAGCAAAGTACTTCTGAGAGCTCATCTGTTGGTGACAGCTTCTGAGAAGCCTGGCTGCAGGATCAAACTGGGGGATCAGATGGGTGATAGGGTGAGAAAGGCAGCAAACTGGGAACTGAGGGAGAAAAGAATGATTTTTCACAGTTCTGTGGGCTCTCCTGGGCTAAATGTCTGTCCTATGGCAGACTAGAGAGATGAGTGACAGGTCTGTGACACCCCTGGTCCCCTACCACCCTGCACCTCCAGGCCCCCTCCTCCTTGCAGCTCTGGCCTTTGCTTTGCAATTCCACCTTTCAGCCAGTTTTACTGCTGGCCCAGAAAAGACCTCAGTTAGAGGCCAGCCAAAGTGATGGGGGCTGGTTTACAGGGAGGAAGGTCAGGCAGCAGTAGATAAGATTGTGCTCAGGGCTATACACCAGGCCAACGAGGGCTGGAGGAGGTGAAGGAGGGAAAAAAACATCGAACAATAAAGAATATGGAGGAATAAGATGAGCATGTTTAATAGGATTTTTCTTCCTTGAACCTCTTAGCAGATGTTAATGAGCATACGGAGCTGATGAGAGGGAGGATTAATGAATTCCAAAGGGGGGTGTTTAACTATGGGGATTAGGGAAAACAAAGCAAAGAACCTGCCATTTGGAGACAGATTTGTCTTTTGAGAAGAAGAGACAGAGTCTTTGTAAAACAGCAAATGCCTGTCCTTGCTTACCATCCTGTGGATGTATTTAGTATGTAAGCCGTGTTCATCCCTGTCCAGCTGGGATTCAGCCCCTTCCACATCCTGTTTGTATTTTGGACTGATTGCTATGATTATCATCACCGTCTTCTGTTAGGGAGAAAAGCACTTTTATGAAATTGGGAAACGCAGCGTGTTTGGTGGAGGCAGATCGGAAATCTGCCAGTTTGTGTTTTAAGTGATCTCCATGTTCTTGGCAAACACGAGAGGATCTCATTCATTCTGGCAGGAAATACAGCAGAATTCGTACACTCATTCCCCTCATTATTTCTCAAGATCTCATAATATAGAAAATCTAAATGTCAAGAGATATATTAGCAGCTACCAGTTTACAGTTGGAATCCCTGTAATAAAAAGCTACTTTTTATCAGTGTAGAGCATCTATGTACATACACAGGAAAGTTTTATCTTCAAATTCAGACCGAAATGTTTTCCAACAGCTTATGTAAAAGTGCATCTATTTAACCATCGATGGCTTTTTATACATAAAGCCACTAAGGCAGTTCTCTACATCTAGGGCTCTTGGCAACAGAAACAGCAACTTTTATTGCTGATCTCCTTAGCAGTGAGGTATTCAGCGAGATGGCTGTACAGAGAGGTAGGCTGTTGTGGATGCCCTGAGCAGGTTTAGGGGGTACCTACAGACTCTGTCCCACCTTGCCACAGTGGGCTGAAGGCAAGGCTCCTCACCTTGCTGGGACAGCCCAGATCCTGCCTGTGACCTCTTTAATCCCAGGTCCCCTCTGAGCTCAGGTTTCCACAGAGGAGCCATCCTTCATAGCTGGGAAATGTCTCTCCTCCTTAAGGGTGGGCCAGTGAAGAGGCTCGGCAGATGAAAGCCTCCTACTTGTGTTTACCTAGGGCCTGTCTTTCATCCCCACCACGTCAGGCTGTGTAAGGCTTCCAACTTTGTGGCTCATAGTCAGCCTGGCACATAATTAACTCTTTCCTTCTGTGCAATATCAAGGGAATTTGCCCCACCACAGGGTCAAATATGGTAAGGAGCCATTATCCCTTACACCGACTTAACATACTCCAGAATTACTTTTGCTTGTGCCTGACATGCATGTAAGCACTTACAGATGTTAAGTGTTCGCAGAGACATGCCTGGTTGCACACATCCCCCTGCTTGTGTCCAAGCAGTCCCTTCTTCCTCACACATGTAAAGGCTTTGAAGTTAGAAACTGCCTCTACAGTCAATGGAGGAAAGCAGACATTTCTGGGTCGGGCAGCCAGAGAAGGACCCTCATGCAGAGGCAGGGAACAGCTCTCCTTACATACTGGTCTCTTCCACTGACTATGCAGGAATCCCAAGGGAGTTCTGCCAATTTGTATTTTAATTGATAATGATGCTCTTGGCAAAAGCAAACTCACCCTGGCTTCTAGTTTCAGTACCTCCATTACACAAGGTGAACCCAAGCCTAACTTGACCTGATGAAAGCCCCAAAATGCATGACTGCGTTGGCACAGCAGAGGCCCCAGGCTGGCTCTGCACGCAGCAGTACCACGCCTGGGTGGCAGTGTACTTGAGCTAAGGTGTCCTGCTCGACATCTTTAGGAAACCTGTGTAGTGCTGTCTCAGATTGTTGATCTTCCTCGCTCCTGTTGGGGAGAGCCCCGCTTTTGTCCTGTTCCCAAACCATGGAGAACTGCCCAGAGTGAGTGAGAAGCCCAGTGGCTTCCCAGCAAGGTATGAATCAAAGGATACCAGCCCACGATGGCATGTCTCAAACCACAGAATTGCCAGTTTGTGTCCAGCTGTGCTGGTATAATAGGAACACCTGGCTTGATCCTAAAGGAGATATTCACTCACTGCTCCTTTGAACTTCAGAGGAAGTTGCTGCTGGGGGGACTGCACTGGCAGCAATATTAATCTCTATTTCACTGCTTAGAGAGATACAAAGTGATGAGAGCAAATCTATCATTCAAATAACAGAACACCAATTTCCAGTTTACACACGGGATGGTTTATCCAGAAGAACCCTTTAGTGTTTTAAATAGCAACGTCAACGCTACAGGTGAGAAGCAGGATGAACATTAGCCACTACTATGCAGCCTGGGATGAAATACAGATACCATTTCAACCAAACACAGCTAAACCCCACTATTTCAAAAGGAGATGGAGGAACAACTTGTCCAATGGCAGCTTCAGGCTGAATGTAACAGCCACCATTGGAATTTGGCAGGAATGCCAGGACTCGTACTTCATTTCTTAAAGAAAGAGCTCTGGGACTATAAGATGCAGAAATGAACAACATTTGCCTACGCTCTCTCTGCAAGGCCTCTGCCATTTCAGGAGGGGCAGGGAAAGGCATAGTAGGGTCTTGCATTTTGATTCTGCTCTGGTTGCTATTAGAATAATTCAACCATTTTCCTCAGGTCACCTCTGCCGTGAACAAGGTTAAATTGCCGTTACATACATCACCTAGGTAGCGCTCCATCCACTTAATGATGTCAATACCTCGTACCGTGTCCTCAAATATATCAATCTGCAAGAGAATGAAAGTCTGTGGTGAGCACCCCTTCACCTTTCATCCCCATTTGGTGGCACCCACTCTTCTCCAGTTTCTAACACACCCAATCAATGGTCCTGACCAATGGAGTAAGTATTAACTTCTCCACGATTTTGCAAGAAGAGTCATGCTCTGCTCTCAGTTCTTTCTTTTTCCCTTTTTGAAAGTAGAGAGCATATTTGTTTCCCTGCTTTGGGGCCATTTTGGTATATTTACTATTCTGCAGCAGGCCCCAAGAATTGCCTGTCCAGCAAAGGTGCTATTAATGAGCCTTCTACTCCTACCTCCATGGTGCCCAGAGCTTTCTTATGAATTGGCCATAGTACAGAACTGCTGGAGAGAACTATAATTGCAGTCTCTGGAAAAAAAAAATCTTTGATTCATGAAAATAAATAAGTGTGTGCAGAGCCCCCCACTGAGTCTCATTCAGTTTAATGATAGCCACTTGCTTAAATGCTTTCCTGAACTGAAGCCAAAGAGTGAAGGTTGAGGGGTCAGACAGCATATGCACTTGAAGTACCAAAATATGAATCAAGATTTTGATGAACACTGAACCCCAGATCCTCTGTGACTGGCTCCCTTAGAGGGGGCCCTTATGATGAAGCAAAGTCACGAGAAGTTAAATGAAAATGCAGATGGTTTATGGGATTAGACAGTAGGACAGAGCTTTTCATGCCAGTCATTTTAGAAGCCCCTTTAAAAGTATAACAAAGTAAATGAAACCACGAGATGGGCTGTTTCATTAAGCTGTGTGAAATACACTGATTTTAGATCATTTTTTAGTGAAAGGTATTCACATCTGAAGAGCCAACGATGTAATAGCATTGCAGAAAAAAAAGCTGGGATGGGATGAACATGAAATTTGACCTTTTTAATATTGATATTACAGATCAAATATGAGGCAATGTTAACAGAATAGATCACGAAACCTCATACTATTGCCCATCTGGTATCTGGTGCCACTAAATGGAATTTTCCAGGGTCATCATTAAAACACATTTTAAAGCATAAAATTCGGTTAAAATATGAGAAAGCTAAAAGGCAAATCACTCAAGTTACAACTTTTAGAGCCAAGGCTAATTAATTATATTTGTATCTTCTTTAACTTACAAAGTGCAATGATAAACAGGAAAACATTTAAATGGATGGTGTATCACCTCTGCTTCTAAAAAAATATGTTTCTTTTCTCCCCTGGTTGACAGTAATGTTCTCTGGAAGCCATACTTACAGCAGTTTGAAATCCATTTACAAGCAGGAAGTTCACAAATTTCATAACCTCCACCGCTGTGTCCACTGAATAGGTTATAAAGACCTTGCCTAGGAGAGAGAGTCCGTATGAATACTCTATGCACAAGAATACACCGTTTGGAAGGTGAGACTTTCACAGCCTTCCTCTTCCACTGCACTGTGGGTTCTGCCCACCTGTGTCTCTGTGGGTTATTTACAAAATGGGGCGGGTTAGCGCAGTGGCTTGGTGTTGAACTTAACCCCCCCATCCAGAAGCCTTGCTCTAGATTTAAGCTCCTGCTGCCTTGCCACTGGCAAGTGCCCCCGTGGAAGCTGCAGAAGATACCATCACTCTGCTGCTCGCCCTGCCCTGCTGCCGGAGCTGCTTCTTTCCCAGCCCTTTGGTGTACACGAGGTTGGGGCCCTCACGCAGAGCTCGTGTCACCTGCACTGGCTGTGACCAGCACAGCTTTCCTCCAGACCTCACTGATGAGGAGCCCTTACGTGAGCTGCACTGCCTCACCTTAACCCCCTGGGTGGGCAGGATGGATGGCTGATGACAGCAGTGTCTTCAGCTGCCCTTGCCATCATGGAAGGAGTTTTCTTACTAACAAAAGAATCGTGGATTTGCAGGCCAGGGCAAGCCAGCTGGCTAATCTAAACCAGCTGTGCACATATCACAAGTGACATGATTTTATCCAGTAATTCCTGTAACTAGGACACACTAACTGATAAAGCAGGGTCTACCCAAGAGTGCTATCCAGTGTCATAGCTCGCTCCTACAAGCCAGAGGGAAGCAACTCCCTGGATTTGCAAAGTGATGTGCAAAATGAAGAATAAAGGAAAAATCAAAAACTCAGGCGAGATGGGGAGGGTTCCTAGCAATGGTATTTCTCACCCGCTAGCCAGCACGGCATTGAGAAGGAAGCCAGTTTTCTGAAACCTGACTTTCCCATAAGAGTTGAAGGGTGCAAGCGTTTCAGGTGCTGGTGGCAGGGGAAGCGCCTCAGCCAGTGCCTGTGCTGCTCTCAACCCTCAGCGTGGGCTCCTGGCCCAAAGTTCTCACCACTCACCAGGTCAGGGAGAAACTGAGGGCGAGACTTGACATATTTGTCTGGTTTGGGACAGGCAGAAATGCTTTATCCCCGGGGCTTTGTTTGTCATTAGTCTTTTACTGTAAGTTTCAGTGCCTCCTGCCTCAAAGGGACATCCTGTTTAGCAAGAAGTCATGAAAGCAATCTAAATGGTACTTATTTTTGTAAACAAAATAACAAGCAATTAATGACAATTATGTTTTCAGGATTCAAGGGGATAATTCCATCTCACCAAACACAAACGCTCACACCCTACAGATGTGATGACACTCGGTTTTTTCTTTTGTTGTTGTCTTTGTGTCTTAGTGTCGTTCCCTCTGCCTTCCCCCCCACACACCCCGGAGCTTTCCCACCTAAAGCTGTCAGGCTGTACTTCACAATCTTGCACAGAACAAATTTGCTAATCACTTACGCAACTCCTCCGGCAGATTGCTGGTTCTCAGAGTCCCCTTGGCTGCAGGGTTACTGAGAGGTCTCGGGACGGCAGCTGGAGATGGAAAATTGTCAGAAGGACAACAGCAAGCTTCATCGGGGCCACATGCCTTGGGGGGCAGTTGACCATTAGGTAGCTGGTTGTATAACTGGTTTCTACAAAGAAAAGCAAGTGAGGATTGTTAAAATACTTATTTTCATGTAAAATTCACGTATTTTTTCCTTTTACTAACAAACTAAGTACTTTATCTGCATACTAGCTAAGACAAGTTCTTGTAAAAACACTTGGCTCGGCATTTCTACTTAGCTATTACAGCATCTTTTGAACAGATACCTTGGTGCCAGTCTACCATAAGACAATTTATTGCAGAAGCAATGTTAGCCACAGGAAGAAAATGCACCTCATAGCTGAACGCTGTTCAGTTTGCAATTAGCAGAAGCAAAGGCTGTTTCTGAGTGAGAAATAATGCCGTGGTGAGGATGCCGCTACGCACGGACAGGAGTCGGGTGGCACCTGGGTAACCTCCTCCCATTAAGAATCTTAGCAGTTCTTGTCTGATTACACTTCACAGATTAAGTCAATAGGAAGGGGAACCTATACAGAATTTTATGTGATGTGTGCTTTGCATCTGCTGGGCTGAATCTGTTGGACAAGTTGCTAGGTTTCTCCGAGTGCTTTTCCCCAGAGCAGTGATGTTTAGTCAATCAAGCCCACTCTCCTTTTTTCCTTTGCCTTCCTTAAATGACTGATGACAGGCTGGTCACAGCATGTTTTCTGTTGTCACATTAAGATTTGGTTTATTCATTTTGGTACAGATGTTTTCTGTTACAAAATACTCTATAGGCAAATATTACCAACATATAACTGCCGTTCCTGGAATCAGCATGTAAACACCAGCCGTGCAGCCGCAGGACAGACCCCGCATATTCTGGATTTCTTTTAGCGGAAGGAAGTACCGAGAAAAGCAACACATCCCTCATCAACCGCCACCAAAAATCTACCCTGTGGCTAATTTACAGATCTTCCCAAAACTTCACCTTATCTAACAAACGCACCAAAAATTAGAAGTCTGGTTTTAAATTTTACTACGGCAAAGGATACCCACTATTCCTCACTGCTTTTACATTCTCATACAAACCCTTCAGTGCAATTAACTCTGCCACAGGTACTACCTTCTCTTGCTGTCACTTTTCTGTCACAGTCCCTAACTTTTCAAAGGTCTGAGGGATGCAGCAATTCAGCCATCTGCCCTCTTTTGTCCCCCCGGTTCTCCCAGTTTCCTGCCAAGACCATGTAATGTAAGTGGCCATTTTCAAACATGGATGCCTGTAAGTTTAGCACCTCTAAAGGTACTGTGGCATTAAATAAGGACAGTCTGCTTTTCAGAGATGCTCAATGCCTGAAGCTTCAATTTGGCTTCAGGTGGCCAAGTCTGGAGAAAACCCTGACTGGGTACTATTTCCCAGTTGTTATTGACCTGGTAAACTAATATTTGAAAGCCAGTCAAAAAGCCCCAGACGAGAAGCACTAGACATAGGGTGCTTTATTACTACATGAGAAATCACAGGAAAAGACTGCAAATTGCAATGTAGATGTCTATTGGTGATGGATGAGATTTTCTCCCTTTTTCTCTGCACTACGGAAGAGATAAGAAGGAAATCACTGGAAGCCAATGATTGAGGTGTGCCAGGCTGGGACACCGTAAAGCTGAGGACCGCAGTTAGCCACAGAATTCACCTCTGCTCTCTAGCAGGAGAGCTCTAAGATTTCAACTGAGATCTTTTTCAACCCTTCATCCCTTCAACCTTTGAGCGTTTATCTTCCTTAATGGGTGCATTTCAGGGTGCGCTGTAACAACGTATCGGGTAACCAGCTTTGAAGTTCTCTAGGCTGAGGTCAGGTCCCTGCTGGGTGTAAAATAGCAAAGAAAGAAAACTACCCAGCATCTCGCATGTAGCCCTGCAGCCTGGGCATGCTAACGTTACAAGTCTTCAGAATTATTGCTTGAAAGCCCACAAAATCAGATCAGAGGAGCTTCCACTGTGCACGACCCACCTCCCTGAGGCGTACTTACGGGAATCGAGGAGGAGCAGGGGAGGAGCACGTCCTGTGGGGCGGTCGCTCTCCCGTGCCCTTGGGAGCACGAAGGTTTGAATAATTTGGGACGACTTGCTGGGCCAGGCGGACAACTTTCATGCACAGTCCAGGAACAGGAGGTTGTGATGTGTGTGCCAAATGTTGGTAAGGAGCTCTGCCATCTGCAAGGGTGAGAAAATAAAGGCAGCAAGTATCATTTCAGCCAATATATTTTTTACTTCAGTTTGTGTTTATTCCTTTCCAGGCAAGTCCTCCTTCGTGTCTAGGGAAACGGAGCAGTTTGGAGGCATTTGTAGGTATCTCGGTCTGAAAGAAGCCAGATTAAGGAATGTTTTACAGTCTGAAGTTTACTATTTCCCATTCACATATGGCATGGTTCAGATCCCCACCCCGTGTTGGGCTGTTGGGACAACTGATACTTACACATTCAGGGCTGCTTTTCCCTGCATTTACCATGCCTTGGTGTTTTTTGGTTTGGTTTTTTTTTTTTTTTTTTAATTTCTTTTTGGCAATAGCTTGTGAAAATGAATCATCCCAACATTCTCATGAAAGCAGATGCAAAATCCTGGAACAAATCAGTTTGCAACACTAGGGCTAAACAGACTGTGATTATTCTAAATGAAAAGAGAAAAAATAATCTCTTGGTTTGTTACTTCACCCTGTATGAATTTTCTGCCTAAGTGACCTTTTAAGGCCTTGCTGCTGCTCCTGTTGCCATCCAGGAGGCTGCAGGGGAAGAAGCCCAAAGTGACAATTTTGCTCAAGTAATTCGGAAAAACCTTATCGTTGTTGGCTACGCACACATAATGCTATTTAATAACTAACGTGCAGTGGAACTGTTGGCATAAACTGGAACGGAATGCAATGGAAGCTGTTTGTTTCCCAAATGGGGAAAACTACTTTTTTCCCTCCCCCCCCCAGTCTTTCTGCTTGCAGTTTTCATTAGGCAGCAGCTCTGTGCACTTTCAAGCTGCTGTGCACAGATCAAAGTCCATCCTGGCAGGGCTTATTAGCACTGCATGATTATGGTGTTATGAGCTGGCTCTGAAAGCTGCAGTTCTCAAACACTCCTCGTCGTCCCCTGATTGTTTTTTTAAATCCTTTTAGCTATTTGGGGGTCATGCTTCCCTTTTTCTAGCAGGCATGAGGAGTAATTTATCTTTTTTTCAAAAGGGGAAGGAAAAAAAAAGGAAGAAAACAAAGCTTTGATGAAATAGTCCAATTCCAGGAGCCGATACTTTAAAAAAAAAAAACACACACCAACCCAGCCCACAATTGCAAAGAGATTCCTGATGAAAATATGAGTTGGCAACACTGTATTTGTTGAGATCGTTTTAGGAGATGTTCCTACTCCCCGTCTTAAATATTTGCAACAGGACAGGGTGAAAGAGGCTGGGAGAACAAAACTGAAGTAACTGTGGTCTTCTCATGGGTTCCTCATGACCAGCCCTAGGGAAGGGGACAGGGCTCTGGGAGATTCACATTAGTTTACAGGGTTTTAGGCCAATGTTTCACAAGCTTCCTTTGGATCTATCCGATGCTACAGTATTGTCATGGATGCAGCCACTGCCGTTCGGAAGCACAGCATGGCCACGCGTGCAAGCCTGCACACACCAGTAACTCCCATATATACATATCTGAAATAATGGTCCCTGGGCACCTAGCATTGCTGTGAGGATTTCTTTGACTTCAGAAGCAGTTTTGCTGTTGTATCTCAAATAGCAGGTGTCCAGAGGCAGCTTAGAGCCTACAGGCACAATTGCTGTTCCCTGGGAGAGGCGTGTTGCAACACACAAAGTGCAGAGCTTTGTTGTGGGTCGCCACTGCCCAATTATCTGAAAGGCAAGGAGCTGTCAGGAGGTGATTTACACTGTACTGGGCATGTGAGAAACAGAAGTACAGTTGCCAGCTTCTTGGTCCTGACCAAATCTGCTCCAGCCATCTGAGTTTATTTTATTCTTTTTGCCCTCTGGATATGGTTGAAATGGTAGTGATTTTTCTAAAGAAAGTCTTTCAGAGTTCCTGCTTTAAAACAAAATGGCCTCATTCAGTAAATGTCCTACTTCTCACTGTGCTCGCGTGTGGAGGAGGTAAATAGCGAGGGGTGTTGTGCAACCAGCTCTTTGTGTGCTTAAAGCTGAATTGAAAGGAGAAGATATGAAAAGAAAACCAGAGGACATTTTGCAAATGTTCAGCTGTAGACTTTGATGAAAGTTCATCTGAAGCCCCTTCCCCTTTACAAAGTCCCAAGATCAGAGGTTTAAAAAACTGAGGCTCTGACACCCTCTCTCTTTCATATATCTAATTATAGCACATCGCTGGAATGACAAAACTCCTTAAACAAATGTAATATAAATGCTGTGGAGTCAACAGAAGGTTAAAAAAAAAAAAAAGGGTTATCAGAACTGGCATACAGGTTTTTATTACAAAGCCAGCCCAAAACGAGTCAGGGTCTCCTGAGTCTAATGTAATATAAATTATATTAAAACAATGATATTGCTGTTGAATGTTCAAAGCTCACTTCACAACAGATAAAAATCTCAGAGACTGAAAAGGAATACTAATTAATAGCAGGCTGTAAACTGCATTGTAGTCTCCAAGAGCCAAAACACCCATATTGACAGAGTCACATCAGCGTTCACCAGCAGCTGAGAGGGCTCCATTTTAAGTAATGAGCTTTCATTTCAGCTGACAACAGAAAAAAATGAGGATGATGGATGTCACGCTCTTTTCTCATAGAAATAAAACACATGGGTGAGTTTGGTCATAATGCTGGGAGATACTATTTACAGAGATCAAGGGCAAACTCCCATCCCGATTCTGGCAGGAAATTCCCAACTTTGGGGACTCAAGTGGGAGCAAGGAAATCTATGAAAACAACAGGAATTAAGTTGGTATAGGAGGCTGCTGAATGACTGATGCAAGGAGGAAGGAAATGACTAGAATATGAAATAACAGCAGGGAGAAGGCTGTGTAAGCTCAGCGTGACCGACAAAGGCTAGTTTCTAGGCAAAATCATTAGCCTTCATTTGATGGGAACTGTAAGCTCTTTCACTTTCTATCTGGCTCAGAGGTTCTGCATCAGAGAGTCTGGCTGCATAACCTGAAAATCTGGACATAAAAAATGGACTGCAGCTAGATGATTAAAAAGGTTAATAATTGCACATTGTACATTGCCACTAAGTACAGTAGGAAAACAACAGCTTGATGAGTGATGGCTGTGATACACCCAGAAAACCTGCTATGGGGTGGGTGGTGGTGCTACTTACATGGGCCCTGAGGGTGCTGCTCCGCCGGGCAGCAGTGCCCAAAGCAGCCGCGGGCTTGCAAGGAGGCATTGGGATGGGGCAGGTGCTGGCACATAGGGCACTGCTGATCCTCAGGTCCAAAAAACTCTCTGGAGATCAGCGGTCCTGGGAGGTCCTGGGGGTTCAGCACAGACACCAGCGGTAAGGGAGGCTCCAGTTGCCTGATGCCCATGATGTCTCGTGACTGGGAGTTGTACCCTGTGTCCACGGTCCCCAGCTCTGCTGGGAGTCTGTTTCCTGAGGGTTGCTGTGGCCGAGAATTCCCTTGGCTGCTCTCCTTCAGCGGGTCCTCAGGAGCTTGAGACAAGCTCTGCTCTGATTTACTGGAGTTATGCCCAGTGTCAGCTGAAAGCTGTGATGTTGGCTGCGTGCCTGGTTTGTCCATAGCTACAAGATGCTTCTTGGAGGGAACTACTCCAGCTATTGATTCACCAGGGGAACAGAAGCGTCCATCTCCATCAGGATCAGGATATTTTGACCACAGGCTGCTGTCTGACTCCACGGATGGTGCTGACTGATGACATGCTGGTGCTCTGCAGAGGCATGATGAATTGGCCACAGGCTGAGGTGTTTGAGAGACACACGGTCTGTGGGACTCATCATCTTCCATAACCTCTCCAGAAGGCTGCAAAGTGTTTTCCAAGACTTGTTCAGGAAATGGGGACCACGGCATGGATTCATCCACTTCAACCGGTATGCTTCGACCCACAAAAGTGCCTAAAAAAGTGGGAGAAGAAACACTGTAGATGGACAGCCATACAGACAAATGCCTGTCGTCAGTCCTCACTCAAGGACTGTGAGCTGGAATACTGAAGAGCAATATGTGTATTCTTTATATTTTTACGTTTTTTAAAAAGACAGGCAGAAAACATCAAGAAAGGTCCAGCTGAATTTTGACAAAGCAAGAAAGTAGAGAATTAGCTGGAGTATGGCTAGCGCAGAGTTATAATTTGGACTAACCTGACACAGAGGCCATTTCCAAGTTTTGTAGTCGCACCGGAAACGAGAGTCAGCTGCCTCACTGCAAAGCCAGGATTTTTCAGCAAACTGGAAAACAAGAGAAAGTACTCTTGTGAACATGGTACAGTTTCACACAGGCAATAATCCCAAAATAACTCTATCTCAGAGACTGGAAAAGAAATATCAGTTAGAGTTCTGGAAATCACATTGAGCAAAACAGATGCTTTTATGGGATTTCTGGAACTTACTGTTCCTGCTGAGACTAGAAGGGGGAAAAAGCACATGAACTGTCTCTCAGAGGTAATTTCTGCACCTGACAAAAGAGCAGGCTGCTTTGGTCTGGAGGTTTGGCTGGGGCATATTCCAGGCAATACAATCACTCACAATTATTTACTCTGGTCTTTTAAATAATAGCTCTACCCTGAGGCCTCAGATCTAAACTTCACCACACACCTAATTGAGTAATTTCAACTCCAAAGCTTGTTTCCAAGTGGTGTTGCTTATTTTATCAAACCATTTTATCCAGCCTATTATCACATGGCTGTTGTTATTTCAAATTATTGAAAAATTAAAAGACAATTTTAGAGACGTTAGTTACAGTTTGGATTTTTTTTCCCCTTCCTTTGGAATTGACTTAGGCCCAAACATCAAAATTTTCACTTCCTTTTGGGGTGCTGTCAGTAAGTTTGGTCCAGCCAAGCAAACCCTGATGATGGACACCTCTGCTCCACCTTTGCTGAGAACGACAGCAGCAGTGATGGGTGAAGGGTGAGGGGGTTTCAGGAAGCGCAGCCACTGCAGGGAGTGCAGATTAGCTTGTTCCCAGCAAATTTTGTCTGTTACTAGCAAATTTTGTCTGTTACCATGGAGTATAGAGCAACAAGCTCGGTGCTCATCATTTCCCCAGCCATTTTCGTTCTACCACATTGGAAAAGCTAAAATCCCAAGTAGGAGAGTTATCAAAGAAAAATGGACTAAGAACTCCAGCAATGGGAATGACAGTGGTTGGCAACAGAACCTGGCTTGGAAGTCTGGTAAAGAAAGTAAAAATCACAACACATTTGAGGACCTTTTAGCAATCCAAGGATTTCTCCCAACTTCAGTCATGGTAGCTTGTACAGGAAGGTGAAAGGAAGATCATATTCAAAAGACCACAGCATTAAGAACAGTTGAACGGGATAACAGAGAAGTATAAAGCAGTGTCCCAACATTTAGCCTGGCTCCCACAGCCATTCTGTAAAAGCAAATGATGTGCCCCATGCTATAGGGCAAGAGTGAGTCTTTACATTCACGCTGATCAGTTCAAATGACATGTAGTCCCCCCTGAAAGCACCTCTAGCATAGAAAATTCTGAGTGTAACATTTGCTGGTAAGTAGGATAAAACCCATGCTTTAATGTAAATATTCCTCCTCTGTAACTTAATACTCATCTATGCAGAAGATTTACCATATATTCAAAATACACATCCTATGTTGTAATAAGCACATCCACAGGGAGAGTTATCCTGGGATAATTACAGTGGGATAATTACACTAGTAAATTTTCCCATGTAGGCAAGTCCTCAGAGCAGCTATTAGTTGCACCAGCACAGTGAACACGCTGCTGCTTTGACAGCTGCAGCTCCCCCTGTGAGAGCGCTGGGTCTGGTGCCAAACCAGCTCCTTCCCATACAAGCACCAGGGCTTAGAAATCCTGATGGTTCAGCTCACCACCACCACCACCATCACACATCTCTCCCTGCGGTCTGCATCCCTTTTCCTCTACACCACATCCCTAGTGCCGGGCCTGCTCGCTGAGTCACAGGTCTCTGACCATCATCACCGATGTGATGGGGAAAGGGAAAAACCTTCAAGCCCTCATAATCAGCACAGGACCATGACAGGGACTTGTGCTGCGCTGCGCTGCCTGTACGGCTGCAGCAAAACGTCATTTAGCTGGGACCTTTGGTCAGACAGCAGTATAAATGACGACTGCCCTGCGGTGGTGACTCAGTGGGATGGTACAGCACAAGGTCAGACGTACATGATACAGGGTGTAAAGCTGTTGAGCGGTCCCTGCTTAGAGAAGTGTCTGTGCAGCTCAGGTCTCAAGCTCCCTTCAAGCCGTCTGCCTTTTGCTCATCTCAACAGCTTTGTAAACCTGACCCTTGGATCATCTGGCCTCAAAGAGCCTGCTCAGACTTGCTTGGACTTGTGGATGTCTCTCTCCATTTGCTCATCAGCTGAATGACGCACACTTGAGCAGCACAAATCACTTTGCAAACTCTTATTCCCCCCTGCTGAGCATCTCCAGTGAACCAGTTCCTCGTGCAAAATTCATCCTGGTGTTCAGGAGGCACAAGCTCAGCTGTGGGGTACCGGGGTACAGCTCCAACTCTGCGGCCACACGTGTTGTCTGAGCATCTCACCCCGTTACATACAATCCTTAGCAAACACCCAAACATGGCTTTTCAGAAACAAATTTGCAATGCCTGATACGCTCAGGTGCTTTTTCGATTGTCTCTGAAGTAGTCAGATCAAAATGCTAGAAAACTCTTTGAATTCAGATGCTCTTTATTCTTTAGTGCTTTTAGTTTAGCACCGTGACAAAAAGAACAGATTTCTGGGGAGAAACCAAGAACTCAGTCCAGAGCTCAGTGAAGTAAATGGGAATCTCTCAATTGACTTCAGTAGGTTTTCAGTTGGGTGTCAGGTGGGATTTAAAAGCTACTAAATTCCTTTGGAGGCCACAGTCTCCAAAGTTTTTGGCCACCTTTTTTTTTTCTGTTGTTCCATTGCTAACAACTGACTATGTATGAAACTGATCATGCATACATTGTATGAACCTAATGAAAAAATTCAGACTTGTTTTTTTCAGCTTTGTTGTTTAGTGTATTTGCTCTACCTTTTGGAGGAGGGATATTAAAACTTCATTAAACTGTATTGCACACGATCAGCTACCAAACTCTTCAAATGGTTTACTTCAGAATAGTTTAAAAACGTCTTTCCTATTAGTTTAGCTCTCTGAAAGGATAAATGCCTCTTTATCTCTCAAGAACTCAACTCAACATTTAAAAGACAGCCTTATTTCCTTCCTATGTAACGTAAGCTAAACTTTATGAAAATTACTCCAAATATCTGAGTAAAAATAATTTGGTTAGAAGTGAGACCTGATTCCATCACCATTGTTTTTACCTGCAAAAACCTCTAGGTTTTTTAAAATATGATTTTGCTTAGACCCTGCTTCAAGATAGCTGAGCTTTGATACCCACGCACAGCCCCTGCTCCTGGAAGGCCAAGGTGGGAAGCACCGAGGGGCCAAGGGCTTTGGTGTTAAAGCAGACACATCATTAAAAAGGAGGAAAAGTGACTTAATCCTCCTCCTCCTCCTCCCTCAGTAGCCCTCGTCAGAGATCGAAGCTGTTACAACAGCAGAGCTCTGTCTGTAGAGGTGGCCCCAAGGCTAAATTAACCCCAGGACGTGCTGTTTTGAGCAATGCTGGCAGTGGTATGTGGATGGGAATTCCCAAGAGAAATCCCCACTGCTGGAAATGTTACAGATAATTCAGAAACATCCTCCTCCGACAGCAGTGCTTTAGGATGTTGTTTCTACTCTGCTGAAGATCCTTGGCTTTCGGAAAAAGATCCAAGGCTGAGCCCATTATTCCAGCATTTTATGTTGCCTCGTGCTGCAGAGTTTCATTAAGTTTCCTTTGTCTTTTCTAGTTAGAGTATCCTGCAACTATGCTTATGCACAGGACAGAAAAATTACTTGCTTAGGTCTCCTGTGTTGAAGAATTAGGGTAAAGGAATGTTTCAGCATATTGAAATACCCTCAGAAACCTGTAGCCTGATCCCTTTTCTGGTATGGAGACCGCTGGAGAGTGTAGATCGTGCCCAATCTCATTTCCAAAGATACCGCAGCTTCAAGTCAGATCCTGATATTGCCAGAAAGTTTAGAGAATTTAATATCCCCCCTGCACCTATGACTATGCAAGAGATTACTGATAACCAGCTGGAGTTGTTGTATATATTCCTGCTTGTAATAAAGTGAAGAGGCCCTTCCTAACAGGACAGAGTAGCCAGGCCTGGACTGCTCTCAAAAATGTCAAAGGAACTCCTTAAACCACCCTTTCTCCTTCTCTTCCTTCCTCTGCTCATACATCCAGTTCTGTAACGTGCATTAATTAAGCAAATAACCTTCCTGGGTGGGTACTCATCGCTCCAAGACACTGGGAAGAAATGCCACCCCAGAAACCCTCTCCCTACACCTGGAGAGGTTCTGCCCCTGCTCCTGCTCACAGCTGGCCGCTGCTGGTAACGGCTGCTCCTGGGAAGCTGCAGGGAGAGCATAAATGAAGGGGAACAAATTCTTCCACAGGTCGATAGAGATGGGCCTGAGCACCCAAATTTGAAGCAAGGGCCAAACTCCCCTAAAAAACATCTGAGGGCCTGGCCAGGGAGTGGGTGGGTGTTGGGCTTGGGCTCATCTGTGCAGCTTTCTTGCTGCTGATTGCGAAATCTATCAGGTACTTCATCTGTTTCCCAGCACTTGTCAGGGTGCGCTGTCCCAAAACACACACAAACCATCTATCTGCTTTTGATTAGAAAACTTCTGTCGTGAAGAAACGGAAGAGAGACTCTGCAACACGAGCATAGCCACGCTCCCCGTCACCTCCAGAAAAGGGGAAAATACCTTTGTTCTTTGAATCAAAATTGTATTTGTCTACATTGTTAAAAAATGAAAATATTAAGATGAGAAAGAAACCTCACCTTCCTTAGTGCACAACGCACAAAGGAAGGTTTTGGTTTTTTTATTCACCAGTCACAGCATCTCTGAAATGGCACGGGTACAGATTAAGGCAAAGCTGAGGTCACAAGGGGTGGGGATGGGGAGGAATTTCTTGATTTCCAAATAATTCCTGTGTACTTTGGCTGAATCCGTTAAGTTCCCTGGTGCTGCTGATACCCATCTGCAGGATGGGAGTAAGCAGATGCAGAACTCGCAAGCTGCCGCGAAGATGCACAAGTTGAGATTCAACAAATGCTGCTGTCATGGGCTCAGATAAGCCTAAGTGTGTAAGTACACTTGCCTTAAATGCAGCTTGCTCGACAGAAACACTAGACACAACTTTCCTCAAGAAAAACCCCAGAGACAAATCCTTTTAGGAAAAGCAAGTGAAAATGCGGGAACTGTTTCGGGTCTATAACCTAAATAAACACAGCCAAGGAAATCCAAGCTCCAGAGTTTCACACTTCACCATGAAGAATTTGGGCTGCTGTCATCACAGACGCTTACCCTCTCCCTTGGGTACCCTCACAGTGAAGACTAAGGCAATGTGTCACGTTCCTAGCCCAAATTTTAAGCCCTCTAGGGCAGGTAATGTTTATTCTTAGGACTTCTGGAAAAAGTAGAAAAAGAATATGAAAATGACATTCCTCTTCTGCACTGACTATATGTTTAACATATTTTCTGCAGCCATGGCATGAAAGTCTACATACGCCAGGAGAACATACTTCCAACCCTCCCTGCATGGCAAACATCACACTCCCTTTTGCAGCATTAATGTTGCTGTCACTGGACAATCCATGGTGCAAAGACTACAGTAGACTTGATATTTTTTTGCCTCTTTAATGTAGACTTTGAAATGCATGTAATAGGAATGCTAGCAAACAAGTAGTAAGAAACTAGAAGTGCAACACCCTCAAACAGGATCCAAACAGGCATCTCACATGTAGGCAGTTTTCTAGTACTTGTGAAATACGACAATGTCTGCAATGATCTAAGGTATCCTTAAAAATGTATTTGTTTTCCAGAGATTACTTCCCACCCATTTCTGATGCTGATAAAACTCCCATAGGCACTGAATAATCCCCAAACTGAGGTAACCCATGGCCCAGGAACATCTTAAAATCCTCAAAAAAATTGGGGCTGAATGGGGTTGGACAGGGGGACTACCCCAAGAGGTGTAAATCTCCCCAGCCTGCTTTCCCATAGTTTTGTGCCTTATGTTGGAGACTCCAGCTCCTAATAAGGGAGAACCTCCAGCTGACGTATCCCTTGTCTCTAACGGCTCTCCCCGCTCTGCAGTGCGAGGGCTGTGGGGTGCGTGAGTGGTGGGAGGGCGTGGGGAAGCCTGGGGGACCTGATGTGTCTCCCTCAGCTGGCGTGAGAACAGCTTCCCTCACTTGCTTTCATGAAACGTGCAGAAATGTAGATATCCTTCAGACATGTACCCTCTGCCAAACTTCAAAAGCCGCTGCTGGGGGTGGAGGGCACTAACAGACACGAACAACATAATTGCACATGCCTCGTTTCCTGCCTTAGAAAGACAAAAAGAAAACCCAACCCCATGACAAAAAAAAAAATAAATAAAAATTATGGCATGCTTCAAGATGTTGCTAGTGCAAGCCTGACCTCGGAAGCTGACGGCATCGCAGGCAGCGGCACAACCTGCAGACACTTGCCAGAGGCATTGGGCGAGCGCTCGCTGGGCCACCAGCCCTGCCACCTGCGCCCCTCACACCCTCATCATCAGCATCACCCACTGCAGGGCTCACAGCCCCGTCCGGTGGCGGTAGGGCACCACCACCCACCCGAGAAGACAGGGACACAGCCAGGCCAGCCCTCGAACCCACCCGCCTGGGGCTTGCAGGGAATGGGAATTCCTGGTCTGGTGGACCCCGGCGGCAGTCGAGGACCAGTAAGCCCAGATCTGCCCTTCCCGCTGCCCAGCCAACACCAGCCCTGCAAAATCCATGCCCTAAAACAATTGGTTACCGTGTAGACATGGCAGCGGGCTTTATACGGCTGATTTTATTCCAATTAAAAAATAAATACTACCGGCTCTCTCCCACTGTTTCCATCCCGGTGCCACAGGGGATGGCGCAAGTGGGGCCTACGACCCTGTTTTCTCCACGCTTGCCAGCCACCGCTCCCTGCCAGGTCTGTGGGCCTGTCCAGGGGACGGGAGAGGAGAAGGAGGAGGAGGAGGAGGAGAAGGAGAAGGCCATGGGCTGACAAACCACCTTGAGCTTGCTGAGGCGCGCAGGGCGGGAGCGGGCCCAGGCCCGGCTGCCAGGCATTGCCAGGCAGCTACGTAAATAGGCAGGACAACATTTCGACACCAGGCGTGTCCATTCTCAGCGTTTACCCTCTAAACCCTCCTGATTTTTTTAAAAAAAAACAACACACAAAAATCCAGAAAAACCAACCAAACCCAACAAAACTGCAGCGAAATGGCTGAAACATGTTGTAACCATCTGTGAAACTCAGGCTATCGTTAAGTGAAGGGAACGGGCGGGGGGGGAAGGAGGGAGGGAACGAGACAACAGTTTGAAGGAGAAGAAAAAAAAACCAAAACAACCCCTACCAAGAGCCAGAAGTGGGCCGACAGCTAATTCCACACAGGGCTCCCACACTTCTTACCTTGAGGCTGGCGCTGAGGTGGCCGACGACAGGCGGGAGGGCTGGCGCGCCTCCTGCGCACCCCGTCGCTCTCTCGGCGTGCCCGGGTCTCCTTCCTCAGCCGGCCGGGGTTTTACTTTTTTAATTTTTTTAATTTTTTTTTTTTTCCCTCCTCCTTTTACGACACCCTCCGCGCCTCTCCCAGGTAAGCGGCAGAACTGGCTCTGCAGCAGGAAGTGGGAGAGGCGTGCACGGATCGGGACGGCTCGGCAAGGATCGGGACGGCTCGGTTCGGCTCGGCTCAGTTCGGCACGGATCGGCTCGGTTCGGCTGGGCTCGGCTCGGTTCGGTTCGGCTCGGCTCGGCGGGACGCAGCGGCGGGAAAAGCCTCCACAGGGCAGTGACACTTTGAGGCTCAAAATTCCGTGGAAGGGCCGGGCGGCGGGCGGCTCCCCCTCTCGCAGGAAGCCCGGCCGCCGCTGCCCGAGCCCCGCGGGGGAAGAGCCGTAGGGGAAAGCCGGTGCGGTTCCCGGGCGGTTGTGCCTCGCCGGGAAAGGCAGCCTTTGCTTGAAGTCCTCGGGCGCTTGCCGTCATTGCCAAACGTTAAACCCGCTGTGATTCAGGGGGCTGGAGACAATCACATGATGGGTGGAAGAACTATATAAAGAACCAAAAAAAAAAAAAGGACTTCTCGTCTGTTTTGTTGTTTTGTGTTTTTTTTAAATTATTTTTTTTTATTTTAGGTTAGGCTCCTAGGCACTTCCAAGTTTCTCTCTACGCCCTCAAGCAGCAGGAACTGGCTTTTCCCTACAAGCTGAAACCTTTACGTAATGCTGGTGCTGATGGCATGGCGCAGTGGGGTTCCATGAGCCCCAATACGCCATGCTGGCTGCCTCACGGGCGCCATGCCAGGCCCCATCCACAGCAGCACCCGCTGGATGCAGCTGGGTGTCCCAGTCCATGGCCGCTTTCCTCACCCCCCCCGGCTCGGCATGTCTCCTGGCCAAGACGCTCCTCCTGATCTCGAGCCTACAGCTCTGGGTTTAACCCTAGGAGGAGGCTGACTTGGCTGCGACTTGTGCACAGCCCTTCGTCTTCCTGGCACCCGTGGGCTGCCTTAACACTTGGTTGGCCAGCCTGCATGGTTGGGGACATCTAAACCACCACCGTGGAGCCCCTCACTCGGGCAGTGCCGCCGCTTCTCCTTCCTCCAGCCTTCCCCTGCTTGGCACCTTGCCCCCCGGGATGGGCCCTCTCTGGGCACCCATCGCTCGGCCAGCCCCATTTTGTGGTCATAAGGCGAAGCTGTGACCCGAGCACTTGTTTCCTCTTGTCAGGGAATGGCTGCCCCTATTTCTGGAGGGAAAATTCAAGCAGCGGAGAGCAGCGCCTGCCCCCAAGCCGAGCACTAAATACGATTGTATAGACGCCCCACAGCCTGAGCAATGTCTGCTGGGTGGGTTTCAAAGCGAAGCTGAGTTCCAACCCAAATCTAAGTACTCTCCCTCAATGTTGTAGAAACTGCTATCAAGTGACTCGTTTTTGGATTAGGAAGCTTAGAGAACAGATATCCAAGTTTATTTCAGCATTTCAAAATCCTCCATTCCCAAAACTGCGGCCATCCTAATTGCTTTCTGAAGGCCTGTTTTATATTTCTGAAGTCTTCCTACTGACTTCACTGAAAGCCGGATCAAACTCTGAACTCTTTAAAGTTAGTATCTCATCTGTACATTATTTACGAGCTGAATGTGATGCGTCATATTGGGCCTGTCATAGAAAGTGCAGATTAATATTCAAGTGGAGGATGAGTGTTTTCATTGGCAAGGCAAATAGCATGGAGCTTTTTTATAAAAAGTGGTTCCTAGCCCTTCAGGAGTTGTAATATTTCTTTTTTGATTTGGAAGATAGTATCAATAACAAGTGCTGCTTCTTGTATTTCCTACCACATCTACATATTCAGAAAACTAAATCATAAATGTTTTTGCTTCCAAATGATTAACTGTTCAAATAAAGCACTGTCTCGTTGCTCCACTTTTAACATTGGTGCCGTGAATTAAACCTGGAGACATGTCAATGAGCATTTAATCCCACCTGCCCCGGCACGCGACACTCTCTCTCCAGTTCTCCACATTCAGCTCGCCCCTTGCTGCTTTAGCACTGTGAGGGAAACTGGAGCTTTCTTCTACCTCTTGCTGTTTAGATTGCTAGGCAAAAGCCTGCAAAAATATTTTCCACTTACTTTTTTTTAAGACTCTTGCTTCGGCATTTTTCAGTCATGCCCTGGAGAGACACCTGAAAGGAAAGAAAACAGTACCTGGATGTTAGCTTGTGCGGTGCTTCTAATTAAACCTTCCATAATGACAAAAACCCTCCTGCCATTTGTTAAGATTTCCCCCACAGCATTATACATCCTCTTAATTAAGAGCAGAAGCTAAGTAATACCTATTTTATTCCCCCTTGCTTCCAATTAGTCATCATTGATCGTTACCCGCTCAACATTTGACAATTAACAGAGCCCCCACTGCCCGCAGGACCGGGACGTGTAGTCCTTCAGAAATGACACGTCTAGAATAACGTGAGGGGAGCTGCGTGGGCGAGGGACGGGGCGAGAGGTAGGGGGAAGGGGAGGAGAAGGCCACCCAAGTGGAACAAAAGACGCGTAACATATGCAAATGTTCAGTATGCGGTGTGTGTTTTATACCCTGGATGTATATGAGGTCATATACAAAGCTCAGCTGGCGGCTGCGCTGCTTTTGGGAGGCATGGGAATTCGAGGGAACCCTTGAGCTCTTGTGTGATCAAACGTACCTAGCCCTCTGTCTTTAAGATGCAAAGCTGTTCCCGATTTGGCGCTTTGCCACTGCTTTTTTTAGGAGAGCAGGAGTTAACATCTGCTTCTCCGTCGTCACCAGGGCTGGGGACTGTGACTGTGTCAACACAGCCCTCGCCAAGTCACCCCGAGACACAGTCGCAGCTACACACAGTCATGCCCCAGCTGCTGCCGATGGGTGAGAAGCACGGCAGCTCCTGGAGCCAAAGGGGCCTCCAGGGAAGCCACAGCCCCCTTCTGCATCATTGGTCCCCTCCGGGAGCCTGGCCCAGCAGGAGGGACGACCCCTGCACCCCTCTCCCAATACCAGTATGAGCAGCACACTGCTTCTGGGGACACCCAGCAGCGTAGCGGGGCTGGAGGGCAGCCCAGAGCCTGAACTGTGGTGGTGAATAAAGCGTAGGGGATGCCAGGGCTCTTGGGCAGGCCGCCGGCAGGAGGGTCAGCGAGTAAAGCTACAACATGATCAGAAAGCTTCCCTGCATCCCTTTTTCTTTTTTTCTAGATGAAAATCATCCATTACAGGGCTTAGGGGTTTTGTGTGAAGCTGTGACAATAAGCAGCCGAGCAAACTTCACAGGCTCTGGGCGTGGGGGCTTGGCAACAAACGCTGGGGCACAAAAAAGCAAACCAGAGCCCTCAACGATCTCTAGCCCTGCCATAGAGGAAGGAGATAATCTCATTTCTTTGCTCTTTGCCCTTTTAGCCATTCACAGAGCCTAATGCCACGTTATTCCCAACAGTGAGCCGAACAATCAAACTCCCATCTGGCCTGGTCAGGCGGATGCGACACTTGCCTTTCAGCCACAGGCACACCAGTCCTGTGACTTGATTTTTTGCTCATCTCGAATATCTACTCTTTACCCCCACCCATAACAGGGAGGATATTTACATTTGGTAGCAGAAACTGCAGTTGAGGCTCATCAGCCAGCTCTAATCTGATCACCTAAATCCCCGGCCACAGCGAAATGCAGGCGCTGCGAGCGCAGCTGATGCCACAACCTTTGGATCTCCCTCTGCACAACACCACGCACAGCCCACCAGCTAATGACCTGTTTTTCCTGGGAGAGCACTCTTCTCCCCCCTCGGCCCTCCTGCATACTCACACCCCAGCCTCCAAACTGGTGGAGAAATGTCTTCCCTCCCTGACTTTTGAAATCAGCTGCAGGTTGCTCTTTGCAGTAGCCAGAGCGCCACAGCATCTGCGGGATGCAGGAAGGGATGTGGGATGAAGGCTGCGGGAGCACCTCTTGCTGCTACGTACCCCTGCAAAAAAGGATTATAACTGATCACGTAGTGGGAGCCAGGGGAAAAAAAAAAAAAGAAGAAAAAACCAAAAAAGAAGCTCTTTTGTTGTTAACGCCATTCTGTCCTCTAATCTACTCGTGTCCCGGTCTTATGTTTTTGTTAAGCGTTCAGCTGCAGGGGCGGAATACAAGGAGATGGATTGATGTTTGTGTAGGTACAGATGTTTTTGTGTACAAGTTGCATTTTGAGATCTATATACACACACGCACACATAAGAACACTGTCTGTATTAAAAATCAACAGAAAATATCTCACAGACTAAAGTGAAGCTAGCGTTTCCCCTCTAACATTCAAAATGAGTCTTAGTAACCTGGTTTTAGCTGTCAGGAGTTCTCCTCACAAATTCAGAAGCACAGAGAAGGAGAGACTGACACCCTATCCAGTGGCATCCTGGCAGGGGGCCTCTTTTCCTTTTCTGCTGAGAGGACACAGGTTTCTGTGCTGAAAAATCCAAAATTGAAGTGCCCCCTCCTTCAGTTAAGATGGCAGGGAATGCCGGCCCAATCCACAGGAGCCCCTTCAGTGATAAAATTTCCCCGTGTATGAGTCACAGGAAATTATAATCACGGCTCACAGAGACTGCAGAACACAATGAGATTTCTGAGCTACAAACAGGCTTCAATTATTCTTGAAAGACAGACAGACCCTCAAACTGACACGATTGGAGAAAATAAATATCCTTTTGTCTGCACTGCTGGTGGTAATTTCCCATTAGACAGGAAAAGCCTTCTTTGATGAATGAATATTGTCTACACATTAGAAGAGGAGCTACTGTATATCTCCTAATAGCTCTTGCATGCTTGGGCTCAGCCTCATGTGAGGCCCTTAAACCCCTTGGGTACAATGTGGTAGCGTTCATTAGTCTACAGCATTATTTATTGCAGTATTTGAGAAAAGGATGGTGCACATTAAAATAAAACTGAGCAAGTTTCCACTCACCTTGAAGTTATGTGGCAAGGTCAAATACATTTAGCGATCTGCCTCCTCAGTCTGCAGGTAGTCCTTTCCAGGCTAGATTCTTCAGGAGAAACACTCGCACTGGGGATAGATTTTCCAGTTACGATTATTCTTGTAATTTTAGCAATTAATCACTCTTCTATCTTGTATTTACTTTGTTTTTCTACAGTGGTAATTAAATCAACACCACAGCGTTACATAGAACTAAGTTGAACACTGTTTGCAGAAGCCAAAGAAAGGCCTGCTAGTGCCTTTGACAAACTTTGGACCTTTTGTACCAAGTCTCATGTCGTTTCCTTCCCATAGAAATACGTTAACAGGCATTAATTGTACTAACTGTCCCTTTTGCAGCAGTGTTGCATTTCCACCCATCATTTTTTTCTGGGACTGGTATTGGATTAAGCTTGGCCTAGAGATGCCTGGGTCACCCAATGGAGTCCTTTCAGCTGCTGGTAGATCACCTTACCTGGATCTTCACCAACACACCACAGATCACTTGAGTCAGATGGGTTGGTGGGCAGAGCGTTTGGCCAATTGGTTTTATCTGGATAAATTATTGGAGGGAACAGGAGATTTTTAATCTGATAATTCAACAGTGCTTAAGAAAACGTTTTTTATTAATTTATAGCAAAAATGCTAACAACCTTGTTTAAATTTTTGCTAATGTTTTTATTTGAGAGATTAAAAAACCCAAACAACAAAACTCCCAACATTAAGAAAAAGAAGCAGAAGAGCTACCGATGAGAAATGGTCTGGGTTTGCCACTCAACAGTGGCACCAGTCTGCACACAAGCCAGCTGCAGGCAGAGATGCGGCAGAGACCAACATGGTACTCGAAGACCGAATGCTATACAAGAAACAACAAGCCCAAGAATCAGAAGTAAAAGGCCATAAAACCCCAACAACGCCCCATCCGAGTCTTACTTCCAACGAGAGACATAGGCAAAACTAATGTTTTAGGCTCATCCCGCATGACAGATGGAAACTGCGCTTAAGTTTGTGGCACAGCAAAGGCTGCGGAGGAAGTTGGCAGAATGGCCATGCTTTGCCACCGAGCACTGGGCTGAGTGTGTGACGTTTTGGCTTCGCCAGCCCGCTGAGTTACTATGGAGTCCTCAGTTCAGTGGATGACGTTTTAAGGCAGGGGGGTAGCTGTGGGAAAAAAGAGGACCACAACTTGCTTTTTAAGTACTAAGAGGAAGCTAGAAGTCCAACAAGAATTATGGCCTCTTCAGTACTCCACAGCTACAGGTACAGCAACATTGAATATATCATGTACATAACATTACTTATAGACTCTACATGTAAAACGTTAACCGATTGATCATGGAAATCTGGTAACAAGCAACATTGCCATATAAATTCACACTTCAAAAAAAGGCTAAGTGTGGAACGTTCCTTTGCAAGAGGATTTTCAGTCAATGTTTTGTATAGAAAATACTAAAACAACGATGATAATTTGTTCTCTGAATCTCAATTCATTATTGGGTTAGTTTTCAGGAACGGAAAAAGGTTCTCTTTAGAAAATGTATGAATATTCAGAATATGAATTTACAATCTAAGTATTAAATAATTAAAAAAAAAGTTTCAACTGTCAGGAAGTCATACTTGGTCACAATATTTTAAAGCAATAACAGCAATACAAGTCAGAAAATCTTTTCCTGCAACACTTGTAAAAGTATTCACGTTAAATGCAACAGAACTATTAAAGAATATACTGGTCGTAGAACAGAGAAAAGAAAGACTAGCTATGCATTCAATCATCTTCCTTGCAGTTGAACTCCAGCTGTTTAAAAACATATTGACTTCATAATTTGGAAAATGATGTCCCACAGGTAACTGGTCTGCATACTCCTATGAAATATGATGCCCCAAATGGCATGACACCCCTTCTTGAAAAGTTTTAATCTCATCTCCACCATTGTCTCCACAGGTTAAACAAAAGAACAACTATCCAAATGTAAAATGCTCTTTGGTTTTTTTTTTTTTTTAATTACTAAATTAAGAAAGTTAAACAGTTTTAAAATGTAAACTTGCAAATAAACCATAACAAAATGTAATTAAGACTTTAAAATTTGCAACTCAGTATTAAAAACTCAATAGAAATAGAAAGGAATTTTTTTTTTTTTTGGTTAAACGTAAGTAATTCAAGGCTGGTACAGACAACTGAAAAGGTAAT